GAGCCACAAGAAAACAGCTACTGGGTAAAACTCACTCTCTGGGTACCCACACTCAGTTATTCACATGTCTGCCTAAATGCAAGTTGGCTGACCCCTCTAGGGGCACTTACCTTCTGGCCAGTAATCAAGATTCTAATAAAAACTGAAGAGAAAACATCCAATTGCGAGGCTGCTCGCAATTGGATGCTAGGGTCAAAGCCCAACTCACAGGGACTACAGAGCACCAGGCAATTCCTCCTACGTCCCTAAGCCCTCCAACAGTGTGTTAAATTCTTTTCTTGTCTGACATAGAGTAATAACACAGGTTGTCACCATCTTGAACAACAAAAGATGGGAAGACTTAATTTCTCTTTCTTTCAGAGGCATGTCACAGACTTCCATTTAATGTTAGGAGAAACGAAACTGGTCCTAGGTAAGAGAAGTCACCATTTTTACTGCACCCTTGGGGAGACAAGGAATAGAGCAATTGAGGATAAAATACACCACATGGAGTTTTAATCAGTGAAGAGCTGGGCATTGCATTTTATATGAATAAGTCAGTTTACTCCTCTCTCCAAATACTCCTCTCTCCAAATACTCACAGCTACTGTCCAGAGTAGAATGTATCCCTCAAGTATGGCCATAGGTCAAGTAAGTACAGGCTCAAGTATAATCAATTTCACATTTCTGAAAATTCATTGACTATGCAAAAGAAATAATAAATATCTGAAGAAAACAATCTATTTTCTTTTTAAGAAAAGATCATAGGCTATATTTCATATTCTGAAACTAAAGAAACACTGTTTCCAGGTGAGGGCTTGTCAGTGCTTTTGCAAACTAGTCCAGGTCAGCCCTCTGGGAACTAGACACCTACCTTGCTGAAAGGGAGCTGATTCACCTCCCTTCCGGGTGAGTAAGAGCCTTCTGGCACATCCAGGCTTGTCCATCGTGGTATTGTCTACATTCCTGTTCCATCTCTCCTCATGTCCCTGTGACTCACAGCCCACTCACCCACAGTTCCCCACTTCTCCATCACTCTTCAGTTTTTCTGGGAACTGATGATTTTAGCCTCACAAAATTTTGTGACAGTATGCAAAGCTCAGGAAAACCTGCAAATGTTTCCACTTACAGAATCAGAGTCCTAATAAATGTTTCTACATATGAAATATGAGTCCTAACAAATAGCAAACTCTAATAAAAGCTAACATTTATAGAGCACTTAGCATGTGCTGGGCATTTGTGAATATCTAATATTAAATACATACATATGCTAAGTTCTTTGAATGAATTAATATCATTTAATCTTCACAACAGCCTTATTGTTATGAAAGAGGATACTGAGACACAGAAAGGTTAAGCAACTCACTAGTTAAGTAACAACTAGGAAGTGGCAGAACTGGGATTTGAACTTGACACCTGGAGCTTATGCTTAAAACCACTATGTGCTATTGCTATCCACTATATAAAAGTATTATGTATTTATAAAACTATTATAAATTCGTGCAAAGTATTAAGCTACCATAATAAAAGCAGTATGGTGGAAAGACAAATAGAGTAGGGTTTAGGAGGCAAGGGAACTAGTTGGGCTGCAGTTTCAGCTCTAGCTGTTATTGTATCAGCCAAGGTCCTAGCAGGTGACATCCAAGCTGGGCAATGTGAGGGGAGTTGAATAGGGGCCTATTTCAACAGTTGTGTCAAGGTGCAGGGAAACCAGAGAGTTTGAATAATGTTCTAGGGTTAGCAAAAGTGAGAGTGATTACAGAAATCCAGAAAGAGACAATCGTATGGGGAAGGCCACCTGGGAATATTTGTGTCTCAGGTACAGGAAAACAGTCAAGCAAGGCACTGTGAAAAAGAAGAAGCTGGTAATAAGTTCCCCTGTCTCTCTTCCACCTTCTTACTTTCTTCTGACCTTTGATCTCTGTCCATTGAGTCAACCTAGCTATCAGCTGTAGGATAGGGACCCACAGATGCAGAATCAGCTTTCAGGCAGGGGGCAAGATCCTGATGGGTTAAGGGGAATGTGAAGGACAAATAGAAAATGGGCAGCATGGTCACTATCATGGTAAACTGGAACAAATCTCAGCTTCCCTGGGACTTGATTTCTTTATCATTGTAATGAGACTATTGAAACACAAGCAATTTACACTGTCTTCCAGCTTTGACATTGTAAGGTGTTATGAATCTACCCTCTGTCTATAGTCCAAGAGACTTTTAGAATTACTTTTTTTTTCTTTTTTGGGTCGGAGTCTTACTCCGTCGCCGAGGCTGCAGTGCAACGGCACGCTCACAGTCACCCCAGCATTGGCCTGCTGGGCTCCAGTGATCTTTCCACCTCAGCCTTCCAAGTAACCAGAATTACAGACACGTGCTACCATGCCCAACTATTGATTTATTGTAGAGACGAGGTCTCGTCAAGTTGCCTGGGTTTATCTTAAAATTACTTTTAAAAATAAAGTATAAAAGACCATCTTCACCACATAAACTCTGGTGGTATTCTGTATCACTTCTGCACTTAAGTGCTGGTGAACGTGTGAAGGCAGGCTGTGGCTGGGGTGGAAGGGCATTTTCCTGGTCTAGAAAGTAACCCAGGTATTGTTAAATGATCTCAGAAAGTGACTCAAGAATATGAAAACTGTGCAAACAAAGAAATTCATGTAATATAAAATCTCTTTCTGAAGCAAAAGGCAAAGTAATAATAAACTATTGTCAAGCATATTTCAAAACTCAAACAAGAGATGCCTCACATGCTTCCATGGGGGGGGGTCTATGTCATGATGACTTAAGTCCCATCCCCATTCTCTCTCAAAGACAGTGGCCACATGAATACAATGTTTGGCAATATGGCCTTTGTTAAGGAAAAGTTGAGGGTGTGAATGCAAGGAGGTGATCCTGTCCCACTAAGTCATATGGGGCTTATCTAAGTAGCTTGATAGTGTGCTTCTGGGTGCTTGATAAGTTGTTCCCAGTTCTCTCAAGGATTCTTGTGGGCAGACTCTTGAGAGAGGATTAAGCTTGTCTGAATAGAAGACACATGCTCTCGATGAGGGCGTCGGTTCTCCCTAGCTTCTGGAAACATATTTCCTCATTCTCAGCATCTGAGATAATTGACATGTGGTGTTCTGAAGGATGCTGTAATTTTCCCCTGCCTCCTCATATCCCTTCTACTTAAATAAAGGTAAATGAAATTGCACCATTATGGAATCATCGCTTTGTTTCCTCCAGGCTCATGAGATGTAGTTTTAACCCTTTATCAGAGTTATTGTTGATTTTCTTCTTAAATGAGAGGAAACCCATACCCTCTTGGGGCTTCTAAGCTTAGGGAGCGATCAAGTGCATGTACATGCTTGTGCTGTGGGGTGGAGTGGAAGAAGAGAGAGGAGGGGATACTTGAGTTGAACTCGCTCTACATCATAACTGCACCTAGCATGGCCTAAAAAAGCAAAAAGTGGGCAAAACAGAGGGCAAGTGACTATATATATACGAAAGACAACATAAAAGTAGCAGTCTATGTTTCTGTGGTTTTGTCTATACCACCTATAGTTCACACACATAAGAAGAGACAAAAGCTTGAGATATGAAATGGGTTGAAATGCCAATATGTCCACTTACTAGTTGTATGGTCTTAGATGAGTCTTCTGCCTTTAGTTTCCTCATTTAAAAATTGAGAAACAGACTAGGGAACTCTTTTTTTTTTCCTGAGTCGGAGTCTCACTTCGTTGTCCAGGTTGGAGTGCAGTGGAACGCTCATGGCCACCCCAGCATCGACCTACTGGGTTCCGGCGAAACTTCAACCTCAGCCTTCCAAGTAGCCAGAACCACAGGCACACAATACAATGCCCGGCTAATTTTTTTGATTTATTGTAGAGATGAGGTCTCACCAAGTTGCCCGGGCTGTTCTCGAATCCATAGGCTTAGGCAGTCTTCTCACCTTGGCCTTCCCAAGTGCTGGGATTATAGGCTTGAGACGCTGTGCCCTGCCTAGGGAACTCTTAGAGGGAGTAAGGAGGGAAGGAAGGAGAGAGGGAGGGTTGGAAAACTATCCATCGTGTATCATGCATACCATTTGAAAGATGCGCTTAATCAAATCCCAAATCTCAGCATCACACAACATACCCATGTAACAAATCTGCACACATACCCCTTGAAGCTGGAAATTAAAAACAAACACACATCTGGAGCTGATAGCAATAGGAATACATACCACAGAGGGTGGATGTAATATTAAAGTGAGACCAATTCAGTAATCTAAGTAAAAGTACTTTGTAAAACATAAGTTGCCCTGACATGTGAGGAGTTATTATTACTCCATCTAAATTGACAAGACAGCAGCACGCCCTTTGAAGGCAAATGGTACACCTGAAGATTTGTCAACAAACCCAGCCACCTGCAGCAGAAGACACCACGAGTTTCACAAAAAATGTGTTCAACATGCTAAATATCACATACAAATAACAAGACTAAGCCACATTTTGAAGAAAATTCAGTTAATACAATGGATCACTTCCCCTTGCTTCCTTTTGCCTATTTTTAAAATGTCTTTACACAGAGCTACAATAAAGGGTAAAACCAATCACACATTTTCATTAGTACACAGAGAGCTACCACAAATAGGTCTCTGGAGGGTGAAAAAAATGTGACAGATGTAGACAGAGTAACTTGAAAAGAGTATTTCGGCAATAGACACAGGATGCTTGACTTAACAGATGTTTACAGTTAATAAATTCCATTTTATATCTATTTTCACAGAATATCTTTCTGGTGATATACCTTGCAGACATCGTGAAGGTAGCAGAAAAAATTTAGATCAACAGCCTGTTAGGAATTAGAAATCGTACTCAGTGAGAAGAATTCACAAGTACCGTAAGACAACTGCGGTGCAAAATCAAACAGTTTTGCTGCCAGTTCTCCCATCTCTCCCTGGATACTTGCTGAAGGGTTAAAGCAAATACTCCGACTACTCTGTCAATTACGAAAGGTCCTCACAAAGCCCTGTCTGCATGCACATCCATCATCCTTACCCAGAGACTCCATCACAACCTTCCCATGAAGAAAACTCACAGACTGAGGTGAGGCACTGCCGAGTCTCCATAAGAAGTGGTCTGGCTTGCACGCGAGTGTGCCAGCCACGCTAATGATCAGGAGAGGTGGGCTCACCATCGGTGGAAGCTGAGAACAGGATGTTCTTCCCTTGTGTTTCCCTCTAACTACAGAAAATCCCCAGCAGTCCCAGCCTCACACAGCTGAGGCCTTCTCCAGCTGGGAAGGAAAAAACAGAATAGGCAATATCTGCTCTCCCCTCCTCCCTTCCTGCTCCCTTCCCTGTAGACAGCCTCAGCATGAGGTTCCTGAGGAATTAGTTGGATAGGACGCCTCCCCTGCTGACAGCCAAATGCCAGCCACAAGTCCTGCTCATGTAATGTGTCTGACATTTCTGCATCTCTCTGGGTTAACATTGTTTGACACAGACTTAAAAAAAAAATCTCTAAGAAAGGTTTGTGCATGTGTATATGTGTGCATTCACACACACAAAATCTGTTGTTTTGTAGCATCACTGTGTATATTAATTTTAAAAAATTATTATCTTAGTTGCTGACACATCTCTGCTTTGGCATTTCTACTTAGGCAGAAGTAATTGGTTTCAGAAGGCTGAAAACCCTTATTTGAAACCATGTGTGCATTCCTGTTGATGGATGCCATAGAATGTTCAAATATCATCTTCCCTCAAGTAAAATAAGCGTTAAAATCCAGAAGGACAAGATGTGATTGACAGCACAGCATACGTGCATTTTAACTACCTGTTGTCAAATTATTTTAAAGCACCTCTATATGAAATGGGGTCAGTTCTCCTTCCTGACCAGTTATCTTTAGATAGATCTTATCAAGTTTGAAAGGGATTCTTCCTTCCTGTACTGGAAAACACTTTCCATTTTTTATTGTTTTTCCTAACGGCAAAGAGCTGATAAAGTGGAGATCTCTCTCTAATAGCCACACAAGGTGCAGTCCCTGATGGGGAAGAGGAGAGAAACAGCTATCCATCATGTTTAGAAGGAAAGTTTAGTTGTAGGGCTGTAAGTCCAGAAAGAAGGGCTTTTGGATACTTTTGTGATTTTATTTTAAAGGAATATTAGAGTCTAGCTGCTGAAGTGGATAATATCAACATGACGGACAAGCAAAATTCCAACAAGAAACAATGAACCCCACTTCAGATGGTTTGGGGAAGGCAACTGGATGACTGTGCATGGCTATAGCAGAATGACCGAGTGAGCATAAAGACTCACTACCAGGAACTCCAGGCATACCTCTGCATGTGTTATGTATTGCCATGGAATCTGCGTATGTTAGGCACTACAGAATGCACCACCATTGGTGAACTCTTCAAAAACCACTCATGAAACTGAGGGCAGAAATCCTATCTATGACATCTCTACATGATAGTCACCCAGAGGCAACATGGCAGCATGGTTAAGCCTACAGACTCTACAACAGAACTGCATGGGCTCAAATCCCACCTTTGTCACCTTTTATTGACTATGTGATCTTAGGCAACTGGTTTACAGTACGATGTCTCAGTTTCCTCATCTGCAATATGGGAATAATAATAGAAGCTACATCAAGGGGTTATTATAAGGACTGAGTTAATACATGTTAAAATATGAGTCATTGCTTTTCACAGTCAATATATTAATATCCAGTCTCTTCCTGATTACTCCTCACACAAGGGAAACTAGGTCCCATTCTATTCTTGGCTACATACTGTTGTCAGAAATTTCTTCTCCACACTGAACCCAAATTAAGCTCCTGGCAATTTCAATCGATTTACCTCAGATCTATTAGGAAATACAGAGCCGGGATAAGTCTCATTCCTCTTCCTCTGACAGTTCTTCACAATGTTTGAGACAGCTGTAATGTATCCCTAAGTCTTCTTCACACCAAGCCTTCCCAGTTTTCAGTCACTTTTCAGGATATGGCAATTTTCCCAGATTGTTCTTTATCCTTGTCACCTTTCTTTGAATGCATTCAGATTTGTCAACATTCTTAAATTGTATAATCTCAAATGGAACAGAATTTTCTGGGTGTGATGTAAGAACGCAAACAATAGGAGACAATTATCTTTCTTAGTCCAGATACGCCGTTTTTTCAATTGCAGAAATCACTGGGTGCTGTCAAAATTCATATTCAAATAACTATCCATCCCTTTGGTTCAAATATGTTTCTCAGATACTAGAGGAATAAAGAAGTTCTCTCTCTCTCTCTCTCTAAAGCAGGATTTATTAAGAGGACAGAAAAACTCCCACAGTGGGAGGGGACCTGAAGAGGTTGCTCAGTTCTCTCTATTTTTTTTTCTAATATCAGTCTGAAGGACATAGTCAAGTACTCTCTTGTGTATAGACCAATATACATAACGAAATACTTGCAATACTAGGCTAAACCTTCTGAAAAATCAGTCCACAGCTTTCCTGGATGGAAATTTATATCTGGAACTAAGTTTGCAAAACTCCTGGGTGATCAATCCGCCTTAGCACTTTATTTTTCCAAAGAAACTCAGAGAACTTAAATGACTTATGCAAGCTCATGTATAGATGCAGCTGGGAGTTGAGCCAACACGAAATCATGACCTAGAACATTCCCAATCCCCCCTAACATGACCAACTGAACGGTTTTCTTGCTCATGACCCCAGTGTAACCCAGTCGATTTCTTTTCAAACGTGATTCACTGAGGAGCCTGACAGTTTTTTCCCTATAGCAAATCAGTGCACTTGCAGGCCAGCTGCTCTCACTGAGATACAGCTGCATGTAGGTGTGGTCAGTTGTAACTAGTAAGTAGCATGCTCACACAGGTGTTTCAAGAAGGGGCCCCAAGAACTGTAGGGGAACTTTGTATAAGTCCGTCTAAAAGCAATTCATTCCCAAATTCTTAGGATAAAGGCATCATACCCATCCCCATTTGTATAGGCATTTGTGTGTTTGTGTCTGTATTTTCTAAAGCAGCAGTATGTCCTCTGGAGAAGCGACTTGTTTCTAAACCCTTCCCAGCTGTCCTGTCAAATGACCTGGAAGAGAAATGAAGGAACTTGCTCACTCGCTCTAAAAGGGAATTAAAAGAAAACAAAACCAAACCTGCTTTGTACTTGCCTGACAGAGATAATGTGAATTGGAATAACAAATGTGTTTGTATGTGAAGCTTTAAAGAAAAAAAAAAAAAAACAGTGGGAAAGCTACTTTTAAAGCAATTTCTTAATCTGGAAGCAGTTGTATCTAAAACTAAATAACAACAAACAAGCCAAAAACAAAACAAAACAAGCCTCAGGCTACTCAATTCATTGAATCCTGCTCGACACATAAACAAAATACTCCCCTGATTTTCTCTGCTAAAAGTGACCTCTCCTTTCTCACACTGTTTTCTTTAATTATCATGGCACGATCATATGTGACACTGTAATAATTCTGTGTACGTATGTCCACTCCCTTACGAGTCTGCAAATTCCTGAAAGACAAGGGTGAATTATCATGCTATCCTCTGCCATAATGCCATCTTGCAGTGTGACAACCTCCTATCTGTTCTCTCAATATCATTCTTGCTCTTCTCTCTAATCCTCTATCCATGTGGCAGGCAAGATGATCTTTTAAAAGCAAATCTGGTCATTATACCCTCTTCTTAAAAAATCCATCACTGGCTTCCTCTCTTTCTAAGGCAGAGGCCAGAGAGTTCATGCCTCTTTAAGATGACCCATGAAACAGTATAAGGTCTGGTCCTTGCCTGCCCACTTCTTATTATCTATGCCCCTTCTCTCTTCGCCCTAGCAACCATGTCCTTTCAGTCCCTGAAACACATCATTTTTCCTTCTAGTTCACATATACCTCCCTCCCCTACCCCTTCCTGTGGTTATCTCCTATTATTAATCAGTTACTTCTTTAGGGAAGTCTTCCCTCATATCATATTCAAGTCAGGCCCTCCTGATGTTACATGCTGTGGTCCCATCCTATAAATTTTCTTTAAGACCTTTCCAAAGCATATTTCCTGATACACTGGTAGAATATGATATAACCACATCAGAAAAAATGTTAAATTCTAAGTCTTCAGAAACCTTCTAAAGAGCCATGCTAAGCCATAAAATAATTCAGACATACTTCTGGAAGTAAGGGAAAAGCTACCCTAATGCTGAATCAGCCACCCACGGCATTTTTATTTAAAAAAAAAAAAAAAAAGCCCTAAACTGGAATGCATACTTTAATAGCAGACTGGTTTCTTTGGTTAATGAGTTTAATATTCAAAAGGGCTCCCAGAGGTCTAGAGACACCATCAAAGTGTAGGTATACTACTATTATGTGTTCTGGGAGTCCTGTTGGCCATACCTCATTGATGGTCTCTATAGTGTATCAATCACTCTAGCAGAAAATGCCAGGTCACCATAAATGCATCCCACCTGGACTCATCCCTGTGCAACTGGCTTACAACTTCAGAACTCACTGGGGTCAAAAGAAGAGGGCCACTGCAGGATGAGGAAGCCAACACCCTTTTAAGAATTACTTAAAACATCAGAAGTCAAGGAGAAAGATGTGGATTCTGAGAATTGGACTCCTTACTTATAGGTGCCAGTGGGGCACCTGATGCTCTCTTTGTAAGCAGGCTTATGTGGACAGAGGCTGCAGCACATACAAGCTTAGGGCAGGGAAAGGGCAATGAAGAAATTATATTCATTGAGCACCTATTCCATGTCAGTGCCTCCACTGTGGGCTTTACATCCAGTTTATCATTTAATTCGATGTGTCCTCTAGCTCATTCTTTTTTTTGTTCTTGTTGTTAGAGTTCTCCAGGTTGGCTGTTAACATTCCCCCTAAGCTGGGCACAGTGGCTCATGCCTCTAATACCACCACTTTGGGAGGCAGAGGTAAGAGGATTGCCTGAGCCCACTGGTTCAAGACCAACTTGGGCAACTTGGTGAGACCTCATCTCTACAATAAGTAAATTAAAAAAAACAACAACTAACATTCTCCCTAGATAACATTTCAATACTGCAATTCACACCTTCTGCAATTCACTCCTTTTTTCCATTTCACCTTAAAAAAAAAATCATCTCTGACTGGGTGCAGTGGCTCAGCCTGAAGTCCCAGCATTTTGGGAGGCCGAGGTGAGAGAATTGCTTGAGCCTGGAGTTTGAGACCAGCCTGGGCAACTTGGTGAGACCTCATCTCTACAATAAATCACAAAAACTAGCTGGGTGTGGTGGTGTGCTCACAGCCACCACATCCTCGCCTAAGCCCAGCAGG